TAGCTAGCTTATAATTCTTTTAGGTAGTAAATAACTTTTTAGCCTTCTTAAGCTCTTTTATTTTCTTTATTATTCCCTTAATATACTTATAAGCCTTTTTAGTATATATATTCTTAAAGTAGCTATTATTAGCCTTATATTTTATACTAGCACTAAAGCCTAAAGGGTAGCCTAAAGAGATATTAGTTAAGTTACTATAATTAATTACTATAAATAGACTTTATAAAAGCTAAGAGGAAGACATCCTTAGTAAAAAATAAGTAACTAAAGAAAGTTAGAATTTTTTTAATAAATAAGTAAAGTAATTTTTACTTATAAAATAAAGTAATTATTATTACTATTATTATTATTATTATTATTATTATTATTAAAAAAAAAGTAAAGTTAAAAAAAAGAAAAATAGTTAAAAATAAATAAAAAAGAAAAATAAAGTAACTATAAATTACTTTATTTTTAGTACTTTTTTAAACTATAATTTTAACTTACTTTACTTATTTTATTTTACTTATTTATACTTTCTTTTTTTTTTACTTCTTTTTTATTATAATAATAATAATAATAGTAAGTTATTATTTTTTCTTATTTACTTTATTTTTTAAATAATTACTAATAAATATTTAGACTATAGGAATTAGTTAAATTTTCTATAAGTATAGAAGTATAAAAAAGTTACTAGCTTTAAAAGCCTTAGTTAAGAAACACCTAGCTTAGAAGGCTATACTAAAAAAGGTAGTACCTAAAAAGACTATACCTAAAAAGGCTACTTAAAAAGGTAGTAGTAAAAAAGCTATAGTAGCCCTAAAGATAAAGTATTAAAAGGTAAATAATAAGTATTTAATTACTATAAGTAATTACTATAATACTAATTTACCTATAGCTATTACTTTTTATAAAATCTAGAAGTACTAGAAGATAACTAATCTTTTAATAGTAAAAGTACTTTTTTAATATCTTTATAAAGAGATTATATTTAAAGTTTTTTAATAAGATAACCTTTACTTTTAAAAGGCTACTATTTTTATACTATAAAAAGCTACTAAGACTTATCTTATAGCTATATTTAAAGGTAAATAATTACTATAATTAATTACTATAATAATCTTTTTACTAATCTTTATTTTTATAGCTATTTAGTTAGTTACTATTTATACTAAGAGAGTTATTATTATAAAAAAGGATATTAATATTATTAAGTTTATTCTTTTAACTATAAAGCTAATAAGTAAAGACTAGTACTATTTTTAACCTTTTCTAAAGTTATTTTTTTTACTTAAGTAAAAAATAAATTACTAAAGTATTAATAAAAAAAAAACTAGCCTAACTACTACTTAAAAGGCTACCCTTAAGAAGTACTACTAAAACCTAGCTAAAAAAAAAAGTAAAGAGGCTAAAAAGAATAATAATAATAAGGCTAATAAGTAAAGTAATATAGTAGTAGCTAACTAGTAGAAGATTACTATAGAGGATTACTATAAAGGATTACTATAAATATAGGAATATTTTATTATTATTACTACTTAACTATTTACCTATAAACTTTTATATAATATACTTTTTTTAACTTATTACTTAATAATAAATTCTAATACTTAGCTTCTAAAACTACTAGCTTTTTCTTTTTTATTACTAATTAATTTATAACTAGTAAATAAATATTATAATTAAGATCTTTTTTAAACCTTACTAGGTTAACTATTACCTTTTTTACCTTAGCTTCTTCTTATAATAGTTAATCTTTTTTTTTTACTTTTATTATAGCTTAAACTTTAGTATCTTTTTCTTACTACTAAAGTATTTATACTTAAGCTCTTATATAGACTTACTAATATAAGCGTTAGCCTTAGTAGTAGTAAGCTTCTTCTTTAAACTACTATTACTAATAAAAATATATTATTACTACTTTTTCTTATTAGTTTACTATATTCTTAAAAATATAAAAGTACTAAGATATAATATTAATAACTATAATAGTCTATAAGGTAATTAACTTTACTATATATTATTATTATTATTATTATTTTCTTTACTTTTAAAGTTAAATACCTAGCTATATATAGCCTTATTAACTAATAGTATATAGCCTTCTTTTTTAGTACTTATACCTTATATCTCTTAATATAGATATAGTAGGCCTAAGCCTTTTATAAAAACCTAGTTATACTTAAGGTAGTAAATTAAAAAGTTCTCTCTTACTTTATTACTATAAAAGACTTTACTATACTCTTTATTAAATAAATTACCTAATTTATAAGTAATAAAGGCCTAAATATTAAACCTTTTTTTTTAGTATTATACTTATTTTTTAATTATTTACTAATTATAAGACTAGTAAACTAACCTTTTATATTAATTTATACTATAAGGTTCTTAAAGACTAGCTTCTATATAGTAGCCTTTTTAGTATTAAGGTTTTTATTATAGTATAGGCTAAGAAGCTACTCTATAAAGTAGTAAGTAAAGTCTAAAGTTTATATAGTATAAAAGTATATTAGTATTTAACTAAAAGGCTCTTTAAAAAATTTAAAAAATAGTAATATACTTCTTAAAGATAAGCTATCTTTATTATTATCTTTTAAGTTATTATTAACTTTACTACTAGAATTATAGACTTTAATAATATCTTTAGTAACCTTTTTATTAGGCTAATACTTCTTTACTAGCTTTCTTATAGACTAATATAATAAGTTCTTTTATTTCTAAGTAGTAAAGGCTAAAATAATAAGTTAAATAATAATAAAGCCCTTTAAATTAATAAAAAGCCTTTTTTAGTTTTACTATTTATTTATCTTAGGTATATAAGTAATAATTATAGTAATTATTTATAGTAATTTAGTAAAAAGTAGTAATACTAGAATAAATAAAAAGAATTAAATTTTATTTACTTTATAAAAGAGGAAAATAGTAAAGATAATATACTATATAGGGATAACTATAGTATATTACCTAATTTAAACCTTAAAATCATAGGAAACTCTACTTTATTTTAACCTAAGGTATCTTTTTATTGTGGTACAGCTGTTAACGCAGTTCTAACGCAGTTGTCGATCACGGCCTTAATCGCAGTTTCTGATCAGCGCGGTGCGGCCTCTGGACGGAATAATTATTCTCCAGCCAGTGAAAAGGCCCGACCCATGGACGGGCGAGCAGGATATGTCCAGATTCACTCCGTCCACGATGCGGCTACTTTGACACCTCCTTCTCTACCCTGGAATCAGGCGCCGTCATTTGCGCGGTGATTGGACACAGACAACGCTATCTGTAGGCGCAATCGTGTTTGCATATGTCAGAACTTGGGGCGATATTCCTAGGTATTCATCGGCGGCGTAGAGCACAGAGAGGAGAACAAGGAACGGAACGCGACAGGAATATAAGTGGGATCGCTGCACCCGGCCCCAGGGGTGTAAGCAGATAACACAATCACATTGCATAGGTATTAATCCTCTCCTCACTTCAGACCAGCGCTATTACCAACTAGGTAGTCAAAAAGCCCCCAAGTCCAGGGTTTGGTGGCGAATCACGTCCCATTCCGTATCAGTGTAAGCTCTGTCTGCTTTCTCACCTTCCCACTTAGGGCTTACTAGTAATCTTGGCCTCGGGTGAAAATGGGTCATGAGACAACAGTGGAGGCAACGTGGGCCATCACCACATCTAGATACCTACCTATGCATCCGCATCCATCCGTCTCATATCCAACCATCCAGTCGCACCGCAGCTCGACGCTGCACATCATTCGCCTTGCCCAGCGCCCCTAGATCTGGAGCTTTACCGCCGCCCAGCAGTTTGCCCAAGCCGGCGCGCCTAAGCCCGCAACAGAATCAAAGAGACGTGGTGCGGGGTAGGCGATCCAAATGGTTGTGTCGCGCATGTACTGTTTGCTCCCTCTAGTCGTCATCCAATAGCGGAAAAGAGCATCCCTGGCGAGTGTAGCGACGGCAGTCAGCGTAAGGCGGGACAGAGGACACGAGGGGGTCGGAGATGCTGGTGGGAAAAAACGGCGATATTCGTGGAAAGGTACGGATACCCACCCAGGTAGGTACATGGGAATAGGTACACACACACACATTGTGGCTGGAGTGGCTCGAGCGAGGTCCGAGCTTAGACCAAAGCCACGTGACATGGCCGACCAGGACAGCCTGCTACTTAGGTAATCAATCGTATCGAAACGCACTGTGCTAAAAGGTACCACGTAGCTCGCGCCACTACCTATGGAGAGAGACTACAAGACCATCCACCTCGTGGATGGACCGGAGAAGAACAAGAGTTGGAGGATACAAGACTATCAGAGCGTTGCGTTGGCGCACAGTTGCAATTCACAGGTAGATCGCATGGCCATGGGGTCAAGATGCTGCTGATTTGTTTCTAGCCAGCAGGGCTATCCATGTAACAAGGGTTGGACGGCGCAGAATCGTCAACAAATCACAGCGTGGGGGGCAACTAACTCAGGAAGGCAAAGGCAGAGACTGCATGGCTTTGGCGAACTTTAAATCTAACATTCCCTGATTCTTTGCTGCTATGAAGCTCTGCATCATAGAGCCCTTGGAGTGGCGGGAAGGAAGGGCTGGATGACGACGCAAAGATGCCGTCGCATGCGCTGGCTGCTCGCTGCCTTGGACGCCAGGGGAGTAATTGATGTATAGTGTACCTGTTGTGTGCGACGTTGGCGGTGGTGTTGCAAAGCGCGAATAGCTTCTTCAATCAATTGGAGATGACGGGGGCGCTACAGTAAAGTAGAAGAGAAGAGAGAAGCGTGACCGAGTCTGAGATCCGATCACACGTTGCTTGATGCTCCTTGACTGCGTACTGCAGGATAACTAGCAGGGCTATGCAATGGGAATACAGCGGATGGAATGAGGCTCCTGGACTTTGCAACTTCTTGACGCTCTGCCTTGGGTGCCTGGGATTCACTGTTGGCATTGGCTATCTCCAACATATGTTGGACTGCATTGTAGTATCCGCGCATCCTGATCTTGCGGCAGTCGAGCTGGGACGTGTCTTGGGGTTCAAGAGTGCAATAGTCTGACGTGAGTAGGCGCTCCGCGAATCCTAAGCGTTCGATGACTGCGGATCGAGAAATTATCGCTGACATGTACAACAGCCAGCTCTGCTTCCTCCTTGTCGTTGTTGGGGCCGTGAGTAATGTTGTCGGCCTCGCTGAAGAGGTGGCTGCTTGAATCCTCGCTGGTTCTCGACAGAGCAACGGCGCCAGGTCGATGTTGAGAAGGCGGAAGACGAGGACTCAGCACGGCAGCCCGAGCTGACAGACCGTCGGAGCTGACTTGGCTTTTGTTATTATCCGTGTTATCGTCTGACGCATGGCCATCGAACTCTTGAACGTCGTTGAGGTCGATAGGATCGTTGTTGTCGGAGTGGTTGCTGAGGGGGTGAGGCAGGCTATCTGGAAGATGAATCTCGGGGTTGCGAGGGTGCGCAGGGGGACGAAAGGCGCCGAATTATAGTGTAGCGGGTACTTGAGGCGTGTGCGGGATGCTCTCGGCTCGGGGGCGATACCATCACTAACTATTCATGGCCAGATACCACAGGTATCAATTGAGAAAGTGCATGAATAGGCAAGCCACATACCTTTAGCTCTCTGGCTGCAGAATAAGTAAAATCAAGACTGCTCTTTCCAATTGGTTGTTCGAGGGATCTGACGAAACGATGGAGATGACGGAGAGAAGATGTGTGTAGGTGACTTTCTGGCCCCCTAAAGTGTCGATTATCTGCCGAGATTTGATGACGAAATGAAATGCTGCAGTTTGTTGGCAGTATTCGACGTTGGCCTGCGTACCTATGCGTGATGAGTCGGACGTGTTTGTGATGAAGAGTCGGACGTGACGAAGTTGGACGTGGCGAGGCGTCTGTTGCCGTTTGATGGCGGGGGTGGGGTGGCGCTCGGCCTCAGCCACATGGAGGGGTGGCACAGCCACGGCACGTTGAGGAGGTGGCACAGCCGCATGCATGCATGCATTTGCTGGTCACTTCAATGCTTTGTGTCACGATAGCTTCAACCACACATCGCCGCACTTACCATGAGGATTTTCAAATGCCACAGGTAAGCTTTTACTCATTACTCAAGTATCTTACCTTTTTATAACTATATCTTTATAGAAAAAAGCCTTGCTTATCTATATTCTTATACACCCTGCCATGTGCTCCATCTCGTAACACATGCTCACCACAGACGATTATCAATGGGTGGGAGATTCCGATCGCTTCGCTTCGCCTCACCTCAGCCATGGATGGTGCTGTAGATTAATCACATGGCTTCTGTATCTGTGAATGGCGTCTGTACGTGAAGAGTGTTTCTTTCCGACTGTGGTAGAGACAGCTTTCGGGCGGGAAAAGACACGAAAAACGGATTTGATCATCGACGCCAAAGATGGGTGGAAATAATTACCATAACAGGTGTGTGCGGTCTGCTGCAGCCAGCCGCTTCCTCCTCCACATTGTTCGCCGCCCCTTCGTTCTTGTCCCTGTTCTTACGGATGCTTCCTCTTACCCTGGCCTTTGGCCACAGGTATGCAAGTATCGGGTCCGAGTCCCGCGCCTTGGGTCGATGGGGTGTGATTGAAGAAGATGACGGCTGCCATGCCTGTTTCGGTAACCGTCTAGAGGACGCGTCCCTTGGTCTCTCGACAGAAGACGACCTTGGGGGGAGGACTGTCAGCATTAAGTTATATATCAATATGGACACCGCAGAGCATCTTACAAGAGAGAGAGAGAGAAAGGGGTTAGTGATTTCTTGAGAGCTGGAAAGTTGGCCAGAAAGTGAAGATTGCTGTTAGCGAGATGTACGGACGGACCACCGTACTGAGGAGGAGTTGGTAATGCACATAGTGGAATTCATCTTTCAAACCAGCAACAGCCAGGTATCTCGCCGTATCGATTGATAAAGTGATGCGGGGGTGGTCGGCTGGTCCAAGTCAGATACCTCCCCCTATAGGAAGTCTCTATATTAAGGGCAACAGAAGGCAGTAGAAGCGCCTTGCTTGTTTATCCTCTCGTTAGGGCTTGCCGCTGGCCTTGGAAATCCGGTAGATTTTGCCTCCGGCCGCATTATAATTCATCAAACGTGGCTGGACAATGTTCTCTAGGCCATCTCACCGCAGTATGTATCAAGCCCAGGCGTAAGCATTCATCATACGTGTCTATCTGCCTGGATTTTCTTCTCCAGCCATTGACCCGCGCGAGCCAAGTGTCGAGTGAGGAAGGTTAGAGATTGGCGTAAAATCAGCATAATGGCTGAGAATCTTAGCCGTTACAATCTCTATAAAGTAAGACTCCAGGTTATCTAAGTCGGCCAAAGCACTGGCCGATATCAGAGGGACCTGCCGTCTGTTTCGTCGTTAAAACAAGGTAGACAAGGTCCACTACCTAAGCGAGGACTATTACGTCAGTATTAGCAGGAGTGGGTGCTGGAATGTCGTCGTTTCTTCCGAGAAATGTCGTGACAAAAGTCGCTGTACTCCCTGTAAGAGTCCTGTGCACGCACTTAATTAACGGCCAAGCACAGCTAGCTCCTAGGCACAAACCCACTATCCGTAGACTGGACACTGCTGAGCTGACTAATAACGTGACGAGATGACGCACCTCTTCACCCTTATATCCCCTACTACCCCTAGGTAGGTACGTACACCCCCGCCGTAGGTTCTTACCAGCTTTTTGGACCATGCTCATCCATCACCAGCAACCAAAAGAAGTCGCCGCCGACCGAACAAAGATGCCTCAATGCAACCGTGACCGCTCGGTCAATATCTTGAGCGCGCCAACAATCTACTATCCCGATTGTTGGAGTCAGCTCAACGTCCACCTTCCAGCAGAACCGCGACCTCGAATCTCAGAACGACACCCCCGACCAATTTCCTTCCTCGCCGGGCTCTCGAACGCTTCGATCGTTGATTACGCCCTGAAATAGGTACTGCGCCCACATTGAATTCCGTGACGATATTGACCCTTTGTCTGCAGACCAGACGGCGCGCCTGCCTGCGTCCCCCAACTACCAAACTCGACCATCGTGGAACGCCACTCTGTGTTCAGCGACTCTGCCGTTGCAGGCCAGATGAAGGCTTTGGAGTAGACTTTGGCGATGCGGACAGAACACAAGGTCAGAAGGGCTAGTTCGCGATTCACAACAGGGGGCCAACAGATGGCAGCAACCGCTCAGGGATCCGCCGACAACGCAGACAAGGACGGCCAATTTCCCATTCTTCTCACTCTTGCAAGCAAAACTTAAATGGCGCTACCTATGACGACTTGAACAAACATTATCGCCAGACTGTCCTGCTCGGACGCATCAGCCATCGTACCGAACACCTGGCCCATCCGAACCCGAATTCGAACCTGAACCTCCCACTGACCCTCGCGCTGCTGATGGCCGCCCTTCCCTGGCTTCCTTTGCCGTCGTTTCTTCCCCTTCACTGCATTCGAACCGTCTCGGCGCCACCTTGCTGTCAATACGGATTGTCATGGACAATATCTCAATGTCACAACCACTTCACTAGCCGTTTCTAACATGTCGGACACAGTCCACTGGGTTCTAGGCACACACGAACGCTTTTCTAACCGCGCCCTCGTCAGCGGCATCTGTGCCCTCATCCAGCAGGTGAGCGCTTACGGCTTGTGGGATTCATTTGGCCCCGCCGCCGACGAAACTCAGCCTCCGCTCAAGCTCTGGGCAAAGCACAACAGCCGGACTGCGGAGCAGCAGGCCATCGGCGACATTAGGAACACAACCGCTCGCCTTCGCAGCCCAGCCCTCACGAAACAGGAAATCGCCGCTGTGGGCACCATGGCCGCCGCCCGACTACCCTGCAGGCGCCTCTCCACTTTCGACTCGGCGGTTCAGGTCTCTCGGCTGAGTCTATGCCGCCTTTGAGGAGACTCCCTCCCTTTAAGGCGACGACAGCAGCGACAGCCCAGGGGGAAGCACAATTTTGTGTGCGAACTTCCCGCCGCGTGCTTCTCTCACTCCTACTCAATTACCAGCGCCGCATGTCCAGGCAGATCTCGTGGCGTCACTGCATTGGTGTCTCAAGAACCTGGCCCAGGGCCTCGCAACAGACATCAATAAGCTGATGCTGGCGCCATTGCTGCCCCGTTGGGCGTCAACCCATCCATCGTCCTTGGCAGGGGCCAGGCAAACCACTATCCAGACACCCCCGGATAAGCCCTAGACCCCACCCCGGGGTTTGCCATTATCCCGCCTCCGCTGCCTACGCCGCCGCCGCCGCCGCCGCCGCCGCTGATTCTGCCTCCACCGCCATCATCACCAATCCAAGGGAGCCAAGAGCGCGACGAGATCGAAGAGGGCTCAAAGAGCCAAGAGGACCATAGCACAAACCACAGCCACTAGATGCTTGTGTTGTTAGTCGAGTTGGTATTGTGGGTGTTTCTGGTGTTAGCCACGTTGCTGTCGGTCCAGGAAGGGTATGTCCCAGGTAGATGATCGGTCGTGGACAGGGCTGAATCGGCGGGAACGTTGTCATCAGGCAAGCGGCCATTGGGATGAGCGGCCGCGGTGTCGTCGTTGTCCTTGGGTAGATTGTGGGTCAGTGCCGGCTCTCGCCGCCTCGCTGGGACCAAACGACGGGACTACCTTCGCACCTAGCTGAGGTTGCTAGGCCGTGACAGAGGCTCGTTCTTGATATCGCTGTTATCCATGCCCGCGCAGCCTTGGTCGCGCGAGCTTGATGACGACGTTGTGGCGACGACGACAACCCCTTCCTCCGTCTCCGCCTGCTAGTAGGCCTCGCCGTCTATTTTCTTCTTCTTTGGTCATAACGCCGTTTGCCGCCGCATCTCCATCCACGCCCTGAACTAGCTCCTTAAGGACAAACCCGATGTAAATTTATCAGACCCTTCTGTGTCGCTCGCTGACGACACAACGCAGTCTTGACCGTTCGTGACCTTGAACTGTCGCTCATTGTCGACTGCCTTGTGCTAAAGTGTACTAAAGGCTGGATGACTTTTGCCAATCCTGCTTCCCTGGCACAAGGCTGGCTGGGGCCGCCGGTTCATTGGACGGCCGAGCGCGCAATAAGATGACCACCTGGGACGCGGCGCCTCACCAGGTCATGCGGACTCAGGCTAATTCTTGACCCTTCGCGCCGATGCGCAATCTGCTATAACAACACCTGACAAGGAGCGGCACTGCCACAAAGCCCTCCTCGACCGATAAGACAGAACCACCCGACAGTAACGAGGAGCATGCAGTGAGCCGCTTAGCATAGGAAGCAGTGTGTGGACTGCTTGACGAGCGTGTGGAAGTCCGGAGGGGGTTCTCGTTGGCTTGCTTGCTTGACCATACAGATCCCACCATCCACTAAGAGTCGTATTTTCCGACCGTGATGACGGTTCGTCGCCAGGAACAAGCCCGACATATAAGCAGGCTGCGAATGTCGTGCGTCAGACATGCGCGTCTCCTGGTCATTGAAGTCTATGACTGTAAAACGTCCATGTCATTATCATGATGTAGAACTCTGCAGATAGACCAAGTTCCTGTGCGGCTTGCGCGCTTCCTGTCCAAGTGACTTCTCTCGCTGGCTACAAAAACGGAGACCCCTCACGCGACTGATGCGATACACTATCGGCATTCCCTAACTACTATTTCCTCGACATTGCAAGTCTCGCACGCTGTCACCGTGGCCCCCAAGGCCTCGCTTGAACCGAAATCCCTCAACCAAGGAAGATGTTCAAAAAGAAAAATAGCATAATCAAGTACTGCTTCCAAGTTTCAGTTCTAAAGACCCGTTATGCTAGCTGTCACCTCCCTGGCCTCCCTGCATTCATACTAGCTTGCTAGGCTCTTGCCTGCTACTATCGGCCTTGTTCTTCACCCACGACCAGCCCAGTCTAATGCTAATTAGCTCTTTCTAGGCCTCTTTCTAGTAGGTTTCAAATTCAGTGACGCTACTCTTGAGGAATCATAGTATCTGGTATGATCTTAATGCCTGGTTTATAGTTCTACCGCCTAATCTGCTCTGATGTTCTGCAGCTAGCTTGTTAACCAAAGCTAGAAGATATAGTGCGCTAGTAAGTCAGTCACTTTCTCTTCCCTCGTCTAGCATAGGTAAAGTAGGTTTGTTAGATACTCTCTCTGCTTTAGATAACATGCCGGCCCTTAAAGGACACAGTAGGTCCAGAGTAAGTGCTAGAAACGGAATGCTTATAATTGTCGCCTTGTTGAGCCATGTCGATAAGAGAGGCCGAGCTGGCCGTGGTGGTTTAGTGATGCGCTTGCTGCTGAAAGGTCTGTTCTCCTGAAAATATGCTTGATTTTGTCTGCCAATGAGTCAAGCCATTATTAGTATTGTTGGTAGACTTTGCAAAGGCTCATTCAGTCTAACCTTGGCTGCTCCGGAGTCACCGAAAGATGACACTTCATATCCGCCGTGTTGTAGATTCATCTTGTAGTTGGACAGAGCTGTTGGGCTTTAATATAGTTATTACTAAGGTAGATATTATTTATAAGTACGCCTAAGAAAGGGCCTGTTCCATGCCCCAGTCAAAGAATCTTATCAGCCAGAACCCATAGAACTCTCAAAACTCTCAGACCTCACTTATCACAACTAGATTAAACACAAACTATTAAAAAGCTAGAACAAGAGCGTCTTATAACAAGGCTACAAACAAACCTAAGAGAGAAGACGCAGGTACAAGACCAAAAAAAAAAGAAACAAAAGAGTAGAAAGATTACAAATAAATAAGAATAAGACGAGAGGAAACAACAAGGGGGGTTCATATAAGAGAGTAAGCATAGAAGACATATCAACCAGAAATAGACAGAGAAACAGAGGGGGAGAGTGAGAGACTAGACGGAATGTCTGGGAACCCAGGAACCAGCACCAGGCTACATCCCTCCCCCCCAGAGTTCACAATCCGCCCTTAACCAGTCCATTATTACCCATTTACAATTCCTTATGCCGCTAGGGCATGACATGGCGTCGTGCGCTATCTCCCTAGCGGCCTTACTGTTGCACCTCCTCTTTGTGGCCGACATAGCTGCTGCCTCCATCTGCAGGAGTAAGTTGGAGAGGTAGATAATTCTGGCATCAAGGTTACGCAGCGTCGTCCTAACAGGCAGCAGAACCTTAATCACCTTGGCTGTTTTGTTGCCGGCCTTATGGGGGTAGTTTTTATTGTTGCTGCTGCTGTCTTTATTAGCATCTGACTGGAAGGGCATAGGGGCGGCATGCCGTCCCCTATACAGCAGGATCTTCTGTGTCTTGGGCCATCTACGGGGCATGGCCGTAGCAAAAGGGGGCTTGCTGCAGTCTATGGGGATGAACTCACTTAGCGTCGGCCACCTGGTCATTGTGGCCAATGGGAGAGCGCCAAGTCAGCGTGGTGGGCGCGGCAGATGGGCTCCATGGTTGCTGTCGCTCGCTCTACTCGGGGAGCCTTGTTATTTCTTGGGCCTGGCGTCGTTGTAGACTCGTAGTCGGCGCGGCGAGGGCAACGAGGAGCAGAGCGAAGGCGAAAAGAATAAGAAGCTTGGCCTAGCAGCGCATCTAAAAGCGCGTTGACAATATGATGACAGGGAACCGGCTGGATGTTGCTGTGGTTGATGATACAATAAACGGACGCGTGATGAAAGAGGAGGATGCGGCAGAGATAGAAGAGCTCCTGATATGGATTGGGCTCTGCGTAAGCGGCTTGATACTTGATATGGAAGTCCTTCTTGTAGGCAGCCGGCCAGTCGTGCAGCACAGAAACACACTTATTAAGCGTCGCCATTAGCCATCACCATAGGTTATGACAAGGCTTGGAGCCCGAAGCTGGTTCGGAATCTCTCTATTCCTCCTCGTCTCTGCGACATGATGGTGGGCGTGTGCTGTGTTGGTTCTTGAGAAACCAGCCGCGGCGGGCTGTTACGACATTCGCCAGAGTGAGCGAGCTTGTTCGCTCATTATTCGCCTGTCATCCGTCACCTATTATCTCGGGAGGACTTTTGTGTCCAGAAGCCATCCTCTGACACAAACACTTGATCATTCTATGCTACGACAAAGAAATCTAACCATAAAAGACGTGTTGTCAAGCAGTCAGTTGGACGTCTGTCTATTTAATTACCACACGGGCAAGAGAGAGCGCTGCGGCTTCCTGGTCAGAAACTATCCCAGGGCACAGCATATACATACGTTGTCCGCCTTGTATTTAACATTTCTTCGATTATCTCTCTCCGCGCCTTTCCTCTCTTTCATCCTCTACCTACGCTTTCTCTAGCCGTCGTCCGGCAGCCACCATCGCCATCACACGCCACTCGTCACAGTCTGGCGTATCGACGGCTTACTGCAATGCTGATCTAGACATGTTGGTGGAGGCGTATCCAGATGGAGAGGATTGACGAGGACCGGTACAATAATCAGAGGGTGTTGCGTGCTTGATTTGCGATATGGTGATGGAGCCGTCTGCTCTGGTGCCACTGGTGTGTCGTGTCGAGTTCGTCTAGCATGATGCTCGGTAGCAGCGTTGCTACGCTGAGATCAGGATAGTGATGTTGAATAAAGATGTAAAGAGTTTGATTTGAATCGTGATCAAGTGAATGCTTTGGGCTAGGTTCAAGCAGTGTGAGTAGTTGATGGCATCCCTACCTAAATGACAATAAGTGAGTAGGTGAGCGATGGATAGATGTCGGATTAATAGGGTACCACGTACCTATACTTCTCGGTCCCCTGGGCACCTCCTGGCCTGCGAGGTAGGTACCTACTAATATATACGTGCCTTCTTAACAAACTTAACCAGCCTCTGGTCCACGGGATAAGTAAGACGTGGCGGCGGCAAAAGCGGAAGGAGTGTAATGCTGCAAAAGGTGGTATCGGCAGCAATAACGGCGGCGCCAAGCAAGACAAACAGCTTATGTACGCATGGCCTACTGAGGCAGCCAGCAAGTCAGGACATTGGAGGGTATCGGAAGTACCATAACGACAGTAAAAGTGTTGCAGATGCTAAGATGAAGGCGGCCGTCGCTGGTACCAACGAACACAACCGAAACTTGGTGACTGTCCCCAACGAGGGTTGGAATAGGTACTCGATGCCTGTTCGCAACGTAAACACTAACCCATCATCGCTGTGATGGTCGTCAGCTAACACGTAGGAAACAACTGGGAAGGTTGACGCACTCTGATCTTCTGCCAATGACGATTTTCACTTCGGCCTGCTATCCTACTAGCGAACAGCACCCTTGCCTACGGTGTTGCGCGACTAGCCGATGTGAGTGATGTTGGGTGCTGTTGTGTCCATCCTCATCCTTGCCGACACGGATGTAATGCGCAGTGTTGTTATTTTTCCAAGTCTGCCCTGCGCGGAAAACATAAATAGCGAGGGAGCTTGTCGAAAACCAGGCAACTTCTTAGATCAAAGCCAACGCCCTTTGGGAATGTCAGTCTTGCATGATGCGAGAAATTGATAGCCTTGGCAGCGGGGATAATACGGACCAATATAGGAGAAGGAGTAGGACTTGAGGTTTGAGTGCCGGAGAGGAAGAAGCTAGACAGTCGTGCATCGTGTGCATAACCGACGATGAAGTAGACGGTGAAGCCATCTATCTCCTGGTTAAGGGCGGCGTTGAATGCCGAGTTGATGAAACCGTACTTGCAAGGTGTGTCTGGCGCCGAAGTTGCTCTGTTGGATCGACGACGTGAGGAATCGCGTGGTGAGAAAAAGAGACGCGGCAGGGATTCAATGGGCGTGTTGCAGTGGTGCAATAGTAAGTGAATCAGTATGAAGCCATCGATGGGCGCCGAGAGAAGGAAAGCAATGTGCCAAATGCCACTCGGCTACATGCGCCACCCCCTCAATGTGGCTGAGGCCTGTGCCACCCCCACCATCAGAGGACGTCATTATTTTTGAACGGTGCCACGCGGTGCACTGCTGACTGCTCGCTGAAAACCTCCCAATTCCACCACATCTTGCTCTTGCATCTGATGATTCACCGTATCACCCAACGATTTTTGGCTTCTTAGTTTCTATCCTTCGTCCATTCACCAACTCCGGTTAGAACCAAGTGCCCGCGTTTAAGAGGTCGCAAGGCTACTAGGCTTAGGTGCCATCGATCCACCTAGCTTGAAAGGGTAACGCTGCATCGTCATGTCGAATAGCAACCCCAGAATGTTCTTGAACTATCATTGTATCTATGTATAAAACCACCAGTCGACCTAATGAGATACTGAATTGCATACTGAGCTCAGGCTTATGTGGCCTGTCTGACTAAATCTCAAGAGAAGAGCAAAAAAAGAAAAAAAAGAAAAAAGTTCGCCAAAGAACCTCGCTTCGTCTGGGATAATGCGTAACAGACAACCCATAGCTAATGCCTAGTGGCATCACTCAAACCATGATTGTATCTTTGCAAGACCATCGCGCACTAGCTTTAACCCCTCTTGCTGCCGCAGTAGCGCTTCATCCTGTTGCCTGCGCGCCGCAATCACCTGCAAGCCCTGCCTCTCTCCCGTTACGCTGTCCGTGGCAGCCTGAAGGGCTTTCTCGGCTCCGGCTAGTTCCTCGTGAGCCTTGCCAGACGTTGCCACACCAGGGCCCCCAAGAGCCGCTGTCAGCATGACGATGCTCGCATTGATGGTTTCGAGGATTTTCGACAGCGAGCCATTGCCGGTGCGTCGTATGATACGATCCGCAGACCCTCTTGCGGCGTGCTGGACAGCGTCGAGAAACTCGGCCGCGGCAGCTCTCTCGTTACTCTCCCCCAAAGCCGTTTCAGCCTCGCCTACTCTGCGAATTGCCTCAGAGAGCCTTCCTTCACAGGCCACTTGTTCGTGCCTGGTGCGCAGCAGCCTGCGGGTCGTCTCATCAAGAACATCATCAGACCAGGCAAATGTACTGGCCTGTTTACTGACCTCGCGCGCCCAGTCCGTCAAACCTCTGTGCTTGGTGGGACGTTCATCCTCTTCGTGTGGTGGAGATGACGACCGTTTGCGTTTACGCATCTGAGTCACGAGGTCTGGAGCCTGGGCTGGCGAGTGTGCGCTTAGCCGAGAGTTGTGAGGTGCCATACTAGTCGGGGCAAGCCTAATGAGTGTGCCATGCTGTGCCATAGCCTTTAACGACTTGCCGACCGCCAAAAAGGTGACGCGGTCTTGGGCTGCCTCATCCGAGAAGCGGAAGTCGCTCGAAACCGAAGAGATTGATTTAAGTCTTAGTTGGCCCTTGCGAGAATGAAGCCGTGCTCCTCTCTCGCGGTCGAATGTGTTGCATAGCGCTTGATGGTCGGGCAGCATCGCGAGCAGACTCTTGCGCTCTTCTTCTTGGTTCATGTGTCTAGGGACGCATTTGCGGTCCACGAGGCGTCGAATTACACCGACGGCGTAGACACCGCAGCTGACCGAGTCGAGCTGTTGTGGGCAGGCCTGGAGGACAATCAGTTAGTAAGTAGTGAGCCTCGTTGGCGCCATAGGACTGCTTACGGCTTCAACAAACTCGATTTCGCGACCTGGACAAGCTTCTCTAAACAATCTGTCGAATACTCTCTTTACGCGGAGCGAGCGAAAGGCGCTGTACAAAGAGTCGAAGTGATTGACGGTAACACGAGAAGCTCCTACCGTAACCTGCACAGTGGTCCAGTGCCCGCTATTCCGATGGTGAACTGGTGCGTATATAGTGCACTGATCGAGCTTCCCAAGAAGGACATGGGGAAGTTGTTGACCCGTCCCATCAGGCTGCCAGGCGTCGATGGAGAGGAGCAGAGGGTCAACCAGGATGATCTTGCGGTGTGCGAGCTGTCTCGCTGATGGCATCGCAGACCAGAGCGCGTACCAAAGAACGTCATCGTGCAAGCAGACGTTATTGCTTAATTGCTCCTTAATACGCAGGAACAGGGTGACACTGGACGGTAAGAGATGAAGACCAAGCGGGTCAGCGACCGGGTCTGTGTCACTGTCGTTAATGAGGACGACTTCTGGCCCGGTAGGCACGGGTAAATGCTGGACGTCGTCTTGGGCGATGAGAGCGATACCGGGCGTGGCCTCGGGTGTGGGGGCTGCGTTCTCATCGACCGCGGACAGAGAGACAAGCGACAAATCGGCCGCGTTGAACTTTATTTCATCTTCAAGGTCGCCAGGGCCACCATCACTGTCGAAATCCAAGTCTGTAACCCCACCAAAGGCTCCGAAGTCGCCATCGTCGCTGTCAGAGTTGAAAAGAGGCGAGGGCGATGACTGATGATGCTCCTGGGCAAAGCCGTGCCGACTGATCTCCGCTGGCGGGTCTCCTATCTCGGTGACCCTGTCGCTCGATGTCGCAGACGGGTCGTCTTCGGAGGTGCTGTGATAGCGAGAAAATTCTCTATTCGCCACCTCGGCGGACCTAGCATTCAGAATAGGAGGATTGTTTCCAGCCTGATGCCTAGAGGTTTCAAGAAGGGCTCCCCCGTCTTCCCAGAGCGACGGAAGTGGAATGCCGAGTTTTAGTGCCTTTTGAGTAATAGAACGGAGATAGACAACAATGTTGAGGCCTGGAGTCTCATTCCGCTTGCTACGGTACCTCGGCGGGAGCCAGGCATCGCGGGAGCCCCAGAGTCTGTCGAGCTCGTGCAGGTAGTCAACCTTCTGCTTTGAGCGCTTGAGGGCATTTCGTTGGATCTCGATCTGGGTCTTTAGGGTCTTTCGCTCGGGCGAATTCAGATTCCTAACCATGATCCGTGCGGCCATCTGGATCTTCGGTTCCTGTAGGGCGACACTACGCACAACATCATCTCGATTGTTTTCAGGGTATGGGGAGAGGGTGCTAGCGATCGATTCGGTAAGCTTCTGAACGTTGAGCGTCTTGTGCTCGACTACAGCGCAAATGACGCCTTTGACCTGGTTGAAAAGAAAGACGGATTAGCAGTGTCGCGACAAGAATGACAAGACGACGAGAGGAAGGAAGGTAAATGATTGCGAGCGAGGTGTATCGTCAACAAAACTCACAATGGTCTGGCTTTCAGCCGAGGGTCCGACCCCAGGATCAAGCGTCGCGCGAGACATATTCTGCTGAGCGTGCTTGACGAGGGCCCAAAGGAGCGACTCTGCGACTAATTGAACTTGTCGAATTGAAAGAGTCCATAACTGCGATCAAAACCACGCGGGCAGTTGACAAAAGAAAAAAAAAAAAAGCGTGTAAGAAACCAAAGTGGGAGATAAATAACCCTCAAGAGGTGCAAGGGTGGCAGTGAAGTTAAACCACCAAGAATTGTCACCATAGAGTCCAATGTGATTGATGGGAGTTGGTGGAGTTAGGGAGTGTGGTTATAGGAAAGAGCTCTGAGGCAAAGGAGACGCAGGAAACGTGGAGTAGCTCAATGTGGCAGACGCTGAAGAAGTAGGGGCTTCCTTTTGGATCACTTTAAGGCAGAAAGGCTTTTAGCCTTAAAACAAGAATTCCAACATAAGGCAGAAAGATGTTATGCCTTATATATACGTATACATATACGAAGTACTACCTAAGACCCCACCCTATAACTTAGACCACCCCCCAAGTCAGACCATACAAAAAAATTGTCATTTTGGCCTAATAGTCACTATTTGTTAATTATATAGATTAACCTATACAAATACTAAACTATCTATATTACAAAAAGGGATTTACCTCTACTCTTTCTTTTACTGCCTCTGCCTCTACTATTGCTTTTTTTGCCTTAGCTAGTGCCTTTGCTACCTTAATTACTACCTTCTTAGCCTCTTCCTTAGCTTACTCCTTAGCTACCTTTTCCTTTGCTATAATAATACTTTCTATAGTAGTAAAGTAAGTATTTAGATTAATAGTAACCTTGCCTTTTTTATACTTCTTTATATAGTCTAGCTAGGCCTTAAGTAACTATATCCTTTTACTATTTTTTACTAGTGTAGTGTTTATATTATTAAGCTACTTTTCTACCTTTATAAAGAGTAGTCTTTAAGTATTATAATCCTATTTATTATTTTTCCCTTAAGGATCCTATAGACTCTAATACCTCCTTAAGTCTTTTAACCTTTAAGGGGTTTTAATAGTAAACTATTAGGGTATACTAGGCTTAGTAGAAAAGCTAGAATCCTATATTAAAGCCTTTAGGTTATTAGTATTATTATTTAGGTTAATAAATTTACTTATAAGAGGCTAAGCTATATTTATAAGCTATAACCTTATTATTAACTAGCCTACTTAGATATTTCTCTTTATAAAGGCCTCTTTTAATACTTTAAAATAATAGTAAAAAAAGTTCTACTTCCTAATTAAAGTACTACTTAGGTCTATAAATACCTCTAAGACTTCTCTTTAATAGGCTTACTTTAAGGGAGAAAAAACTAAAACATTAAGAGGTTAAGTAATATAGCTAGTATAAAGTAGTAAGTAAAGTAAGTAAATATCTTACTAAAAGTATTCCTATATAAAGTTATTAGATATATAACTTTTATACTTATCTATAATAAAAAGACTTTTAGAATTAAGTTTTTTTGCCTTTAGTGTTATAGCTAAGATAAAAATAGTCTTAAGCTAGTTAAGGCTTATCTTATTTAAAGTCTAGCTATTCTTTAATAATATAAACTACTATTAAGTAAAAGATTTAAGTTTAAGAGAAAACTACTATTATTATACTAAAGCTCCCTTAAAGATAACTAAAGGAGGTAATCTTTTACTATCTATAGAGATATACTTAAGAATACTTATCTAAGTATAGGCTTTAGAAACTTAGATATATATAGATTACTTACTAAACTTCCCTAGTACTAAAGACTATTAAGCTTTTCCTTTAGTAATCCTAGTCTTATCTATATTTTATTATAGATATTATAAGATATCCTTAATAATAAAGAGTATAAGTAAATAAAAAAGCTTCTTAATCCTCTCTTTAGTAATATACTTAATCCTCTTAGAGCTAATCTTTTTTACCTTTAGAGTCTTTATAGCTAGATTTCTTTATAAGAATCCTTCTAGCTACTTCTTACCTAATAGCTATAAATTATTACTAGCTCTAAGGACTCTTTAGGCTATCTCCTTAACCTATAAATAACTAGGTGTAAAGCTAAAGGCCTCCTAGGATAAAGCCTAGTTAATAAGGCACTTTTCTTATATTTAACTAAGCTATTAATAGTTAGCTTTAGCCTCTTTAATTAATATAGTACCTTAAAGGTAACAGTAAAGTGTTATATATAGGATACCTTAGCGCCTAGCTACTTTATAATAGCTACTATTAGTAAGGACTTTATTAATTACCCTTTTAAGTAACTTAGGGGTATAGTTTAGTATTCTAAAGTATTTAGTATTTTTAAAAGAATTAATTTGATTTTTTGTTGCTAGGATATTTTGGTTTGTAAAAGGTGGTTAATTACTAGAAGCACAAAAAAGGGGGAAAATAGTCAATGTGAACATGTGGTCTGACTTGGGGGGTGGTCTGAGTTGTAGGGTGGGGTCTTACCTACCTCGCTGCCTCTTTCTCTTCAGCTTTCAATCAGCTTTCACTGCCTGACGATGATAACGCCGATAGCACAAGACTAATAAAGCTATGCTTCACCACAGCTGTTCATCTAAAAATACCCGTCCGTCTTATCTCCCTCTAATTAGACTTGGTGCGCCGTCGTCGTCGCCGTCACCGCCTATCTTTTCTCTCAAGTCAGTCAGTCCAAGCATCCTCTCAACTTCGCGCCACATTCGCAGTAATACTAGGAGCTGCGGCAGTAATGTGTGGTTAGGTGAGTCACGTGCCACACCCACTGGCAGAAGGTCTGCCTGCCACAGCGCCATCGCCACTCTCTGCATCCTCATCATCCCTTGCCATTCCGCTTCACCCATTAACTTCACATGTATTACACGTCTCGTTCGCAGCGATTTGCAACACACAAACCAGACGCTAATCGAGTACACCCCAGCAACACACCACCTTCTAGGAGCTACCCTCCAGGAGGTGGTACATCCCATCTTGTCAATGCCATCATCCCTCAGCATGCAATGCGCCGTCTGATCCAGAATTATGAAGACAAGCTTCGGTCTCACTGATGAGCCGCCTGCCAGCATAATTTTGACGAGGAGAAATATCAGAGAAGTCGCTCTTTGAGCACATCATACCTCATATTCCCTGTTCCGAGCGTTGCACAGCCCGCTCGCAATGCCGGTCACAATCGCAGTTCACTCTCTCCGTCGAATTCCATTACCAACCCGATCCCGCAGCCATGTCAACTACTGCCCACATTCAGACAAGGCAACACGCAATGGACTATTCCGCTAGCACCATCTTTTACTTCGGCTCAGCAATTCAACACCCAACAACACCTCCCTTACACGTCTCTGCATACAATGCCCGTGCAAAGGACGAGGCTATATGTCGTCGCCCGCGAAGGAGCCAAGACACCCATTCTGGTCAAAGAAGCTGCCAAGAACTCGGTTTGAACCACCACCGCTACTCGAAATGGTTTCGAGAAAGGTGCTACGAGTTGGACTATACAGCAGGGCATATGAGATTAAATATTTGTGCATAACTGGGGGTTGGTCGTCCCAAGAAGACTTCTCCAACGGAAGTTCAGGCACTCCAAGGAGACTTTCGTGCACAACATGTCCTGTCGTCGATGTCGTTCTCGCCATATTTGGAGTAGTGGTCGTTGGAGGACACCAGCCAGAGGGAGCATCCACACAGGCCTTGGCACTAGGCTTACTTGGTGGACAAAAATACTTGGGCAACCGCAACATATCGATCCTTTCACCATGCATTATTAGAACTAGCTGTTAACTACCAAAGGACCTGCTCAAATACCTACCCAAGGTAGCGGCAACAGCGACGCGACCGGCTGCTTTCATTCTTATTCCTGCGATCCTGAGATTCTCGACATTCTCGCTGGTCTTTGGCTTATCCTAATCCATGGCTCTCCGCTACAGGGTAAAACAACAACCCCTGCCTCGGGCTTGGATCATGCAACTTTCATCACAAACATGGTTCAATCAATCAATCAATTAAACAAACGCAAACACAATAAATTACGTCCCTTTATCCTAGTTAATACTGTTTCTGTTGGCCTCCCTCATTACCGTCGCCATCGCCGCCGTCGCCATGTCTGTCCTCTTCTATCCATGCCGTCCCAACTCGAGTTGTCTTGGATACAGCAGCAGCAGCACCAGCGGCAATGCCGTTCACGAACAATGATAACCTGCAAGGTGCCGACTATCATGCCGTTCATCTCATCATCATCCTCCCGCAACGCGACTTAGACTCGGCCTCTGACCACAACAATCGCCACCGCCCGCGGCGGCGGCGGTCAAGGAAACGGCAACACGAACTTGACCCCGGGCTCTGCGACCAACGCGTGCATCTCTGCCTTCACTCTCCAGTTTGCTAGCAGCGCCTCCTTCCCCGATCCCGCCGCCGGTCAAGCCCTCCTTTCCCAAGTCTCCCACGACATGAGGAGCCTTTGTTTCCACGCACTCGATCTCGAGGGCCGGCATGACGTTGAGGCCCTGTGTGACCATTGTACGACAGCTCTGCGCAGCGCCGCGGATTGCTTGACCCGGCAGTTCGACCCGGCCGACTCCTTTGGTCGCAACCTCGCCAAGAACCAACGGTTGGCCTCGCTTCTGCTCGACTGGGACACGCTGCCACAAGAGGATGATGATGATGCAGCCAACGCTCCCTCGTCCTACGCTGTCTACACAAGACTGGGCACTTTCTTCGAGGCGTGGACAACATACAGTACCGTCGGCACAGCCGAAGTGCGCCGCCTTGAGTAACACCTCCGCGAGCTTGTCGCGAAACAGAACTAGATTCCGGATGCTTTCCTCAGAGTCGGCACGACGCCTGCACAAGGACACCCAAGGTTCCCTACCATCCCTCTCTGACCCTTTGCAACAAGAAGAATATCTCTCACTCCTTCCGCCCCAGCGTACCGACTAACATGAAATTGGCCGTAGGGACTCGCACTGAACGCAAAAGATACCGGCGATTGTTTCTAACCTGCGTGGAAATCTCATTCTCCAGGTCAACTTACTCCTCCTCCAGCTGTCTACACCTGATCAAGCATTCTCTCGGCCTGCATCGAGGCCGTGGCCGGAAACTCCCACAACTCAGCGTGGCCCAAAGACCATCGCACCCATCCAGCCAAGCTAAGGGCTGCCAAATAGAAATGTGCTAGACAGCGTTATGCTCAACAGGGACATCACCCACCCTAAGATGCGCCAGAGAATAGAGAACCCCAGAATCGTTCTACTTAATTACCCCCCTTGAGTACAAGAAGGGCAAGTCACAAACCAACATTGAGATTTCCAAGGAGGAGGACTGGAACCGCATCCTGCAGATTAAGGAGGAGCAGGTCAAGTCCATGTGCAAGGCCATTCAATCAATGGCCCTAAGGCGCTCCTGGGCATCAGTTGCAGCAAACCTTGGGCCAACTACGCAAATAACAGCAATAGGCGTCCGAATCAAGGGCCACATGTTTGCTTTGCCAACAAGTAATTTAGAATAAATAGTGATGTTTTCCCATCACTAGATAATAAGCTTAGCTACTACCTAGGTCCTGTCTCCCTCAATCCTGTCTATGTCAGCCCTCCGGCCCCTACTCATCCATCCCTATATAGCTGCCTAACTGGCCGCCCGTCATCTAATTATACAAATATCATGTAGTTGTCTCGCAAACTACGTAGATATAAGAATCCCAGGTCCACCGTTTGCTCCTCCCACCGCCGCCGCGTCTGCTCGCTGGCTTGCCCTGCCCGGGTGGCGACGTAATAACAGAGCGTCACGGCATCGTTCCACTGCTCCTGTAACCTCGCCATATCCTCCCTGACAGCCTGAACGACCTTGGCTGCCCTTGCTACTCTGCTCCACGTGACAAGACACACTATATTAGCCTTGACTTTGCGGCCTCGCCATCGCGATAGCTCCCGTGGGATTGCGTGTACTTAGTCAAGCCACTCCTGCACACTGCCATGCTCCGTCCAAAACTGTCCAACAAGCCAGGTACATCCCTCGGCCGCGCGGCGGTCCTGGACGCGCTTCTCCGTATCCGAGAGCTGGTTCTTCTTGCGCTGCAGCTCGCTCAGCAGCGCCTTGTTCCATCCGCAGAGGTGGGAACTGGTGTCTCTCAGCTCTCCCAACGAAGCAACGAGCGACGCGTTGAACTCGCGTCTGTCTTGTAGTTCCGCCGACAAGATGCGTTCCATCTCGGCGATGAAGTGCTGGACGGGCAAGGTTCCAAAACTTGCACAAGGCTGCACAAGTGTAACTAGCTTCCGACGAGAATTGACCCGTGGGAGCCAAGGTGCTTGGCCGGAAAACCAACCTTGTGCGCCTGGATGGTATGTTTCCTACGCCGATCTGGTAACATGGCGGTTCGGAAAGACAGGGCTGGAGACCCAGACCAATAACTGCATGGCTAGTAAACGTGGATTAACCCGTAGGAAGCCAGGTCCGTGGAGATGGTGGCTTGACACAGTTGACTGGATAACCAGCACCGCGGACCACATGGTGAACCTGCCTGGGCCTGTTAACAGAGCCATTTCGACAGATCCGACGGTTTGTCCCATTTCGGGCATTGAAAGAGAGAGAGAGCGGGACAGACTGGCCCCAGTGGCTGAGCGGCGTTCGAATTGACCCCTGATTCCAGGGACTGCTCCGGCCATGAGAGATCATGTCTGTGCAAGCCCTGATAACGTGCCATCATACTTGGGTTCATCTCAAATAGTGTTCGAACCCCTGATTACAGGGCTTCGTCTGTCAGTCCTCAGTTGGAGAATGTGAGCAGAGAGAAGAAGAAGGTGGGAAATTGAAAGTCAAATATGATAATGCCCGTCCTCCTTGTTCATAGTCCTTACTCACTTAGCCATGACGGTAGGTTTCCAGCAGGCACATGCTCCGTGAAAAGTCCAGCCTTATGGCACACCACAAAGACACGAAAACCAACGCTGCATGGCTAGACTAGACGGCCTGTAAAATGAACACCAATGGCCAAGAGACAAGATGGGCACAGTTATTGGTATGACACATGAACTCCATCACAGAACGGCGCGGCAACGGAGCCATGCAGACGTCCAGGATGGCAACTAAAGCCTGACGCCGACAAGTAGGTTGAGTGGGCGGCATCGGACATGAACGCCAGCAGGACGGCCGAGCGGGCGGGGCACATGAGCCTCAGCCATGGCAAGCAAATAAGCGGCATAAGACATGAACGCCTGGGGCACTGTTTTCTCTCTCATAGTTTCGCTTAATCGATCAACCTGCCTCAACGGCCGCCTTGGACTTATGGAGTAGCAGCTCGCTGCCCGTACAACGGTCCCAGACACACATACATACGTATATTTCCTCCCTCACACCGCCGATTCGTCCTCAGTCTGCGGCCCCCCCACCCCTCGCTGGCAGTCAGGTAGGTAAGACTTAGAAATCAGGGGCTATAGCCAAAGGAAGTGTTCGCGGTGACACGTCATCGGCAGCGCTCAGTAGGTCCCATTAAGGTAGTCAGGCAGAGCTCTCAAAGGAAGGCCAAAAGAAGTCCGTCACCGCCATCATCGCCATCTCCTGCTCTCTGCGTTCTTAAAATTGTTCCCCAAAGATCTCTCAAGGTAGACAGGCGTGTCCACCTGGTCGACGGCGTTGCTTAGCTCTCTGCTCTTTCAGGATGCGTACTATGTCATTGTTTAAAAGATTAACCGCACAGAACCAGAATGTGTCGCAACAATTCCCATCAGGTTTAAGGCCTTGCTTGTCCTTGTCCCACGGTCAATCCCATAAGGGCTACTTGCTTTTAATTAGCTAACATTAAGTCAGACTGTTTACAGAACAAGCCTCAACTACTATCAGGAGTCCAAGTCAGATGCCTATATCAGATGGTGTCTTCGTGTTCGCGCCCAGATCCTTCACGCCCTCTTCGCTTACGGCATCCTGCCTCCCGACGCCGATGGCGAAAAGATGGCGACACAGGTATTACCTGCGCTGCACATTACCTGCAACATGGAACATGGTGAAGAGTTCAGGCGCATCGTCCACGTGCGCTTCTGCCGTTCTTGATAGATTCCATCACCTCTCAGCTGGAGTCCATGGGCATCGAGCGTGTTCCTGCGACGCCGCCGTCTGCAGGGTATTTTAATGGTTTAGGTTCGTCAGTGCGCGCTCCTGCGGCCCAAGTCTCAAGTGGTAATAAGTCTTCCTCGGCAATCTAGTAGGGCACACAAAACATGCAAACGGCAAGGGCCGGCGCATCGTCAATCTCGAATCCGATCCAGACCGCCAGGCGGCATCGGTAGCTCTTGGACCCGCCCCCCTCGACCTCGCCCAGTATCAGCAGCTGCAGCTCCGGCGCAGTAGCCTAGTAGCGGTGTCGGCCGTCATCGGTCATGATGACGGCTACACTTCCCCCGGCCGTGGTGACCTGCTGGCCATCTTCTTTAAACCCAACACAGTTGTATCAGCCGAATCGCTCTTTAATGGCAGGAGTCGCGGCGCAGTAACACCCGCGCCGGCTACGCCGACCACCGTTGTGACTATCGACACAAGAGCGTCGCAAGATAATTGGTCCAGAAACATGAAACAGGCGACTGGGGGTGCAGCAAGGTAGGGGTCAACGCCGCGAGCAGTTTCGGTGGAGTTTAGACGCGTCTCTCTCGGCGTAACGGATGGGGATCGAGGCCGACTACAAGGCACATGCGGCCGTGTCTGGATTGGACTGATTGTTTCTCCTGCTTTGGACCGCTGCTGACGATGAAGGCGTTGGAAAAGCTTTGGTGGCGTCGAAAGCCGTTCAAACGGCTCGGAACGCATCAGGGTGTTTAGGAGCGAGACAACTTCTCTGCGGATTCAGGCAGTTGGTCCCGCTTATAAAAAGCCCAATTGCCACAGCAGGTGGTGGGTGATGTACTGTAGGTACCTGCCTGTGGGACCCTAAGGGGCACCTTGTACCTGTTCTCCATAGGTACCTAGGTACCTACCGCGTACCTAATAGACCCGTCAATAAGCTGCTTGACTTTAAGGCACCCTCCCTTGTGCTGCTGTCCACAGCCACACACGGCGCACCGTGGCGTCACCCGTTCTGGACAAGAAGCAGTGCTGAGGGGCTTACAGAAGCCTCAGCGTTCTCGTCGCCGTTGAAATTAGGAGGCATCCAACAGTCGCTTGTCTCTCGTCCATTCATGACAACAACAACAACTTCTTCATCCTTAGACTTCAAACTGCTGGTCAAAACAGTCACTACCAATCTCCTACTCCATCCGCCCTCTTTCTATTCTCCTTGCTCAAATTCAACACTCGACACCTAATATCCACATAGGCAACACGCCAAGTCTTAACAACATTGCCAACAAGGTAGGTAATAATTACCATTCTTCAACCAGCCTACGTCCATAATTATTTTCAGACACTAACCCTTCAAACCTTTTCTCAAGAGCCCTCAAGCAACACAATCTTCCGTTTCCCAAACGCAAATACCATCAAGACCAATATTTAACCAAGCCTTACGCTACCTACCAAAACCAAAATCAGAGCCAACTCTCAAGCACCAGGACGCACGCAATGCAGCAAATTCAACCTTGTTTAGGCTCAGTTATCCCACCGGCCTACCACCAATTATGCTCTTGCTAGCGAAAGTGCGGTGAATTCGACCCCAAGACCTAATGGGCTCGGCAGGAAGCTCTCAAGACACCGAATCTTTCGACGACTATAACCTTACACCTCCCCCACCCAGAGTAACAAGGCCAATGTCACCACACGAGGCCTCTGTCAGGCTCAGGAGCGAGTAGCACAAGCAAGAGAAGGAGAAAAGATGAGCGCAGAAAGGAAACTGTCCGAAGCCAAGCCGCAGCCAAGTCTCAAGCAGTATACAAAGACCACTCTTGGGGGTTCTAGAGCGACTATATTCATCAATTGGCTGAGCCGGAGCTGCCCGTATATTCCAGAATCCAGGCAAGAGGAGCCGGAGGATAATTCCCTCAACTGACGGGGTCAGGAAAACTTTCGTCCGAAAACCCCTTGCAAAATGGCAGCCCGGCTGCGCAGCTCGTGGTCAGCCTAAAGGGGCAAAGTAAAACTACTGGCACAGAAGTGGCACGGAGCAAACAAGACGACAACGCTCAACGATAGCCTGAACACTACCTTCTCCCTCTGGTGGTTCCCCAATATCCACCCTCAACATTTCTAAACTCGAGCAAGGCTCTTCAATGTCTTTGTTGTTGCTGCCAAGACCTAGAAACGATCTCCGTTGCTCTAAGGCCAGTGGTATATCGCAACAAACGTTGGGCCAGAGGTATCAGTGTCCATTAACAAGCACGCTACCATTTCAAAAGTGTCCGAGATTAGCAAGAAGAGGGTCGGTGCCCTCCTGGTATCCCCCCTTAGGGGGCCTGACAGACTACAGCGACAGTAGAATACGAATAAACCCCACGTCAACAGGCCCCCCCCCCTCCGGTCAGGCAGCTAAGAAAGAAGAACGGACTTATCTGACTCAGGGTGGCGGAATTTCTGCCCGGGTAGCAAAATGGGCCGAGTCGTGGGAAACTGTCGAAAACCACGGCGACAGCCAGTCCCTACCTTGGTCACGCCCGCATAGGTCTACACCCCAAGAGACTGCCAACTGCCAAAACCAGGCGGTGGCCAGTGTCCTGTTACGTTTGACTTCTTCTTGTCTCTGTAACCATCATCATCATCGTCGTCATCGTCGTCCTCTATCCCCTCTCCCTCTTCCTCAGCCATGGCTACGTCTTCGGGCTGGGGCCGGAGCTAGGGCTGGGACTAGGAATAGGACTGAGGCTCAGGTTCAGGTTCAGATTCAGGCTCGGGCTTGGGCTCGGGCTACTGCTGCTGTTGCTGCTTCCGGCGGGGTTTGTCCTGTACAGGAGTCCGTCTCAGACCCATGACGACGCCGTTAGGCAGTAACTTCGACCTTGTATGTAAAGCAGCAGCCACTCTTGGACAACCGTCCGTCATTACGCGTTGAGCGCATCGTGTATTTGTATACTTGGGAAAAGCAACTATTCGGGCCGTGTGGTTGCCGATGGATTAATGGCCGTGTACCACGTCCAGATGCTCTATCCGTGGTGAATCCCCTATAGCCTCGATCTTCCTTATTACCTCTATTATTATTATAGACATCCACTACAGCCCCAAGCAGAACACCATCGCGCTAGAGGTCATTGAGCACGGCACCAGCTGTTTACCCCGCCAACTGATTCCGCATCAAAATCGATTCCAGCAGGCATCAAGGTCCTATTTCAGTCCC